CCAATTTAGGCAAGGATTCCGCTATACCCTCTGCAGGACCGTGTCCCTCCATCCTCTCTTCTTCCCCTACATCAGTGGTAGTCTGGACAGTCCCGGAGTTGCTCCGTTTATTCTTCTCTTTCCGTGATTCCTCATATAGGTATCGTGCTATGCGTTCATGACCAGCCTGCTTGGCCTGTTGATATGGAGTCTGGCCTCTAGAATCTTGCATCCGAAAAGGAACCCCCCCTTCAACAAGGATTTTAACAACATCAAATTTGTCGAATTCTACAGCATACCTCAACGTTCGCACAAGTTCGTGACGCTCTGACTTGCCGAAAGTAGCCCCTCGCTCCAGCAAGAGGAATGCAAATACGGGCTTGAGCTCCTGAGTTGTGCAGAAGGTCAGAGGAGTCCTATTCAGCAAATCTCGCTCGTTTATGCTGCACCCGCGGTCTAGCAGAAGCTCGGCTGCTTCATAATCGCCGAAGTCGATGGAGGAATGTAAAGGCGTATGACCCCACTCGTTTTTACTGTCGATATCTGCACCCCTATCCAGTAGAACAGCCAGGTTATCGGACCGCTCATACCTGACTGCGAGATGTAAAAGTTCCCTTGATGGGTCTTTGATGGCTTCGAGAGCACTAGGTCCCATTTCGTCTAAGTATGTTTCCAGATCCTTTCTACTTAGTTTTCGTACTGCTGTCTCAATTGAGATGTTATAATCCACTGCGAGGGTGTTTGTCCGTTTTGGATGTTTTGATAGGTCGATGTCTTCGTCTCCAGGTTCCCCGCCGGCTTCAATCTCTTTCAACCTAGCCTTTCTCAGCAGGTCAAACAGCCTATCTAGGTCTTGATCACGAGCTAGTCGTAGTGGTGTTTTCCCATGTGCGTCTTCGATATCAGTACGGGCTCCATATTCCAGCAGAACTCGAACTACAGCCTCAGCGTTGCGGCGAACTGCATCGTGAAGAGGTGTCTCGCCCCCATCGCCCTGGGCGTTCGGATCAAGGTCCGTGAGATTCTTTAGGAGATAGCGCATGATCGTGCCGCGAGCGTTAATCGCACAGCCATGGAGAATGCCTCGTCCGTGAAAATCCTTAAAGCTGTGATCGGCACCGTGCTCGACGAGTACACGAACGCATTCTAAGGCATTCTCGTCAACAGCGCGGAGCAGTGGAGGACCGTCATAGATATCTCTAGCGTCGGTGTTGGCCCCTTTTTCGATAAGCAAAGACACAATCTCGCCATATCCACAACTGCTCGCCAGAGTCAAGGCCGTCTGCTTTGATGAATCGCTTGCTTCTATAGCTACACGCTTGTCGGAAAGCAGGAGCCTCGCAATATCAATTGATCCATTGACCACAGATTGATGCAGAGCGTTATATTCATACGGACCAGGTTGTTTAATATTTGGATCGATGTCTTTCCTTGTCAGCAAATGCTTAACGATCTCGCTGTTTTCAAAATAGATTGCCCACATTAGCGCGGAGAATCTACCCGAACCTCCATCTATAGCGTTGACGGCTATATTCCTAGAAGATGAAACGATCTCCCTGACGACCGTAGTGTGGCCCTTCTCACACGCTCTGTGGAGAGTCGTTCTCTCTCTTCGGCAAACGCGACTGGGGTCTGCGCCCGAATGCAAGAGCAGATGCACAATGTCTGCGTGACCTGCAAGTGCGGCGTACATCAGTGGTGTTGTCTGAAGGCAGTCTTCGACGTCGACGTCGACGCCAGTCGCCAAAAGATTTGAGACAGTCTCAGTGAGGCCGAAATATGCGCTTAGGTGTAGTCCGTGGACGTTTTCTTCTGCATCCCACCCCGAGGATGCTTCGATATCATCTAGCCACATGAACTGCGCCGCAGCCGCAACATTTTCGTGTTTGAACATCAACTTCTGGGCCAGCTGGGCAATAACGTCGGTTTTGTGAGATGGAGCTACATGGGCATGCGCCAGTCGAGTGTGAATACCCCAATGGATCGTCGCATACCTGAAGAATGGGTATTTCGATTGTCGTGCCTGGATCATTTTCTCACGCTCAGGGCCACTGCACGCGCCTGAAGAGAACACTGAAAAGTTCAAATAAATCAAACAGACCTCAGCTAGCATCGCATGGCCACTCTTCAGTTGCTTGAGACCAGTCTTGGCTATGTAATCGCCGATAGTTTCGTGGGCAAGTCTGACAAACCCTGACGGATCAATAGCGATGAGCCCAGCGCACATCGAAGCTAGATGTCGCACATCGGGAAGAGCCAACTCGTCCACGTCTTCATCATTTTCCTCGACAGTAATCGCATGGGCCAGCGCTTCTGTCGAAAGTAATTTCCTCGCTGTGGCTACTATGATCAGGAGCTTCTCAAGCGTAGACGCTAGCCTCTGACTGCTGATGCGATTGAAAACACTGTCGTAAATGTCGTTGATGTTCGATGGTAGTGTTTCGAGGGCATTGATCAGATCTCTTGCCGTTACTTGTTGCTCTAGCGCATTCATATGGAATTTCGCTAACAAAAACCTTCACATTGTTAATGGCCCGATGCATTTTGAGGGGGCTAAGATGCCAGACTTACATCTTATGCGATTCTTTTTGAACCCGCTGGACAATTGTATCCGCAAGCCCATATGCTTTAGCTCGAGCGTTTTCGAGCAGAACCTTGAGGTTATCGTTATTATCAATGCGCCAGAGTATATACTGCTCTAGATCCTCCAGATGAGCGGTGATGGTGACTGTGCCCGGCCAGGCCCATTTGAAGCAGTCCTTGGGTTTATTGCAGCCAAAACATATGTCGTATTGCTCATAGCATCTAACACAGGCATCGCGGTTGCAATTAATACAGTGATATGACGCGACATCCATCCAGTCTTCATTATTTGCTTTCTTGCCTGAATCATATTTCTCCTCGTTGCCATTGGCATCGATTAACTCGAAGTCTGTTATGTTTTCGTTCGAATCTTGAGTGGGAGAACTGCCGTCTTCAAAGTCTTTCTCGTCACTATCTTCGTCCCGTTCATCGCAGTTATCGCAGTAATAATTCTCGTATTCCGCCTCGTCGAAATCAGTTCGAGTTCGGTATCCATCTTCGCTTGCTGATTCTTTAAACCACTTCGATATGGCTTCTACCGGGCGGGACGTCACAAGCAGCTGTGGAAGTGGACGTAAAGACTCAATCGTTTGAAGAAGCTCTACTTTCTGCTTGTTCTCGCGCAGTTCGTCAAGACCATCGACGATGATAAAGGTTTTATCAAATGACTCTAACTCCTTTGACATTGCTGCGACCAACCTTTCTGGAGAAGGGCGTGGCTGCTCTCCGCCTTCTGCGTGTTCCGTACATAACTTCCGAATCACTTCAGACAGTTGACCGCGCTTCTCAACCAGCTGTCTGAGGAAGCTCGACACGATATTGGACGATGAGTGCGTATTGGCATCGTCGAACGAGCAATAGGCAATCAGAACAGCTACATTCTCATTCGCGTGTCTTTCCAGGAGCTTTTGAAACAGGGCCGTAGCGAGCACCGTTTTACCGGCGCCGGGGATGCCGTGGCACCAGAGAGCTTTCGTCTTGCAGTTGGACCATCCACAAACCTGTGGGTTGTTGAGAAACCAGGTGCCAGTACCGCTGAGTGGACGTTTCTGGGCAGTCTTCTGCAGCATGCGAAAGTCTAGTGGCGATATCCATTTCAGGGCAGTTTCCAGCTCAGCCGACTCAACCGCGTGCCTGAGATACTTAACGTCCTTATTCGTATCAATCCCAACCTGCAGGTTTGCTCGACCGAGAGCTATTGTAATTGAATCCGTCAGCGAGCGTAATCTGTCTAGTATCCTCTGCACCTCCGATTTGTCGAATGGCCATTTCACTTTCTTGAGTGTACTTTTGACACTGCGCGACGGGAGAACAAGTTTCGATGCAAGCTGCTCGAGAACAAGCTTGAGCTGGTCCACCGTGCCTCCGGGTTTGAATAGGGGTTTGATAGGTTTCGACCAGGTAGTCTCTTCATCAAGATTGTGAGACTCGAACTCAAATTTGAGATTCCAGAGCAAGTCATAGACGGTTACTACCTGCTGGTGAAGCTCTGACCTTTCTTTACCGCCCTCACGTACATCGTTCATGTACTTGATAACTTTGAAGGCCAAGTCCACAATTGCGATCAGATTAGCTGTGGTATCCATAATGAGAGTCTAAGAACTGTAGCCTTGAACATTCGAATGAGGTCGGCATGGTCTGGGTAGGAAAAACGAAGCAGTCCTACGACGCCCTTCACACTATAGCGATCTAATCACTTCCGTCGAAACTATCGTCGTAGGGCGACGGAGCTGCTTAAGTGTGCTGATCAGTTCATAGAGAAGCGGGGCTTGGCTTATCCCACACCTGCTTGGACATCTGCTTCAGATATAGCCCCTGACAACACTTAGCTACAGGGTAATGTCAGGGTTGCTGGTTTAAACCGGGGGTGAATGCTGAAAAGGGCAAGGTGAATAGATTTAAATAGAAATAGACCAGGTAAATCTATCCTCATCATGTTCATAAGTTGGGGGCCGCCTGAATCGTATACTATACATACTATTAAAACACACTGAATTGATTTGAATTAAACTAAACAGTTGTGAATTATAGAAACTCCTCTTTCATACGGGTATTCTTGCTAAACGCGTGTTGAAATTCACATTACAAAGTGAAGTACTCTGTCTAGTGTCATTCTACCTTAGCCATACACTCCGCTCCGGTGTCATGGTAAAAGCTAGCTTACGTAGGTAAGTTAAGCTACGATTGGGTCCCGACACACTGGTACACATATATGCAAATGTACCATTATTGCCCGCCTTTTCTGCAGCCTATTCGAAAAGCTAGGTGCTTACTTAGTAGCTAATAGCCAGCATTGGATCATCCGGGCTAGAACCAAGTGGTACCAAAATTCAAGATTATTAAGTAATTATACAGCCCCATACCCACTAGTCCCACTTAGGTTCTACCCCAGTTATACTTTCCTTAAAGGAAAGGCAAAAGTAATTTCAAAAAAGAATTGACAAGAACGAGATTCGAACTCGTGAGGGTTGCCCCAGTGGCATCCAACGCTACTTTTGAAGCGCAAGAATTGTCTAACACTGTTAGACAGTGTTTCAATCGCTTGAGACCACCGCCATAACCAACTCGGCCATCTTGCCATTGCTAGTAATATCGCACTTGATTTTCATATATCTATATCCAACTCTGCCCATAAATTTTCGCTAGTATGGGCCCCTATCTTGTATTCTATATTCATTATCGCAGTTGTCTTATTTTTAGATTAGAACAACGCATCAAGACAATTCCCTTTTCTACTATAATTACTACTATTGTAGCTATTATATATCTTAGTATTACCACTGATAAATTTGAGCCTGAAGGCGCTCAAAGTGGAACCATCTAGCAGCAAAATTGGCGATCTTAAGGGTACAGTGTTCAGGTGAAAACAATAAGCCACCTCGAGATATAATAAGATAGTGTGTTCTAGCAAAATGCATCATATAATGAACGTATAAAGTCTTCTTATTATGGTATTTCGCGGATAAACAACCTGTAACTGCGCGTAATCTATCAGAAGCAGAAGCAGCCGCTTTCGCTCATTTTAATGCTGTGAGTGGTTGATTAGTGCGTTTTTCTTCAGTTATATGCTATTCAAATAGTATAAGAGCCTTGATAATGACTTATATTGATGATCGTGCGAAGGACTTAGTCGTGTAGGTGATACACACTATTTCGGGTTTCAAACCCTCAGTCGATGTTTTCCAGCTTCAAGTTGTCAAACCAAGAAACCCAACCCTATTCGTGCATTAGATGCCACGTCAAGATCGTGCACAATGTATTCTTATTCGTGGTACCATAACGTGGATAGTGTAGCAAGCCGCAACTGTTGAACACCCGAGCCAGTCGTTTGCTCTGCAGAATAACGGTATCCCATTTGAAGTCCAGCAGTGGGGAGTACAAGATCACAATGTGACACAGTCTAACGAGCGAGATCTTCGGCGGCTAGTTGTACTACATTCAGGTAGGACTCAGCGACAACCGCTCACTATCATGCCGTTTGAATGGATTATCCATACCCCTTAAGCTATTACGATACAATTCACGAGGGCTTTATTTCAATAGAATACACCGAGACCAATGATTCAGCTATGTGTATTCCTAAGTAATAGTGACTTACTTGGCCCCCAATTCAAACAAACAATAGCCATTCGGCGATACAATGATACCACAAACAATACCAATGCCACGGCTATAAGCCATTGGTCATAGTAAAAGCCGCAAATCCTACTACTTTGTATAAGTGCCTCCCTGTTCCCTCTCTGAGCATTGCTCTCTTTGTGCCTTGAACCATACTCATGCTCCCATTGCACAGCCTACATGGAATAGCCCTATCATATAGTAAGGTTTATCAATTGATACTTCTTCCGTTCGCCTCTCACTAACCCACTGACGCAAGGTCTACCACCGACGAAACACGCTGACGGCGTCAAGTTCACTCGGGACACACCCAAACCAACAAACATCGATCAAGATGTGCTTCGTCCAACCTCTCGTGCCAGCCGCCATAGTTCACCCTACACCTGTTGTGGTTGTTGCTCCACCGCCACCGCCACCACCTCCAGTCTTGGTTCAACCTCTCGTCCCTATGGTGCCTGTCTTTCCTGCGACTCCGATGGTGCCTATGGTGCCAATGATGCCGAACGGGGTTTTGATCAGAAGATGGCAATAAGAATGCCTCGATGAACCTCCAACATCAACAAACAACAAGAAAGGGAAAGGAGAGAGAGTAGAGAAGCTATAATGCAGAAACTAACGACACATTTCCCCGCAAGCTGAGTATAGCTGGTGGAAGTTAAATAGTTCATCTGTACTCAGGGTGGATTGAGACTACCATGAGGGAAACTTCGCGGGTGCTATTCTGACAAGGGGGTTCCTATCATGGATAGCAAAGGCACTAACAAGAGGCGAAAAGCGTACTGGCATCAAATAAGGCTTAATACACTGTATATTTTGTAATAATCAGAACCTGAAAGTGTGATAAAACTAGCTAAGTAGCTAGCCAAAGGTCTGGCCTACGAAATAGTAAGCTATAGTACACATATTATAAAGCTATAAGCTAAGTGCTAAGTTATATAACCTAATAACTTTTTCTCTTAAAAAAAAAGAATTACGTTTTTATAATGCTTTTATTATTATTATTATATTATTATTAGAACTTTTTAACTTTAATTTGCTTTATAATATTTTTATTATTTTTATACTTAGGTTTTTTTTTTTTTATTAAACTTATTGTTTTTAATAACTAAAATTTTAACTTTTTAAATCTTTTTAATAGCTTTTTTTTTAATTAACTTGCTATTAAAAACTAGAATTTTTTTAGTTAAATTGTTAAGCTAAGCATAAATTTTTATACTAAGTTTTTTTAAGTTATTTTAAACTAAAACGCTTTACTTTAAGTGCTATAGTATAGTTTTTAGTATAGCTTTTATAATAGAGTTATAAAAGCTATAATTATTATATTTCTTTTTTTTAAATATTAAATAATAAACTAAAAAAAGTTTAGCATTAAAAAAAACAACTAACTAAAATTTAAAATAAACAGTTATAATTTATTTATTAACTAGCAAAATAGCTATAATAAACTTGTTATATATTAATATAACAGGTTTGCTTTTAGAGTTTTGATTTACAGGTAATAATAAAATCTTTAACAGTAGTCCGTTAAGGAGGTTTTTAGAGTACTTTTACTACTATGCATTAATAAAGGTCTTAAAGATTTAAAAGTAATAAATGTATTAATGCTTAGTAGTTATAAAAAATTAATAGCTAAAAAACTAGAACTAAATAAATAACTAAATATAAAAAGTGCATAATTATATAAACAAAAAAAAAGTAAAAAAAATAATAACTTTTTTTAAATTACTGCAAGTTTAATAAGCATTAAATTACTATAAGCTTAATAAGCTTTAAATTACTATAAGCTTAATAAACTTTAGATTATTATAAGCTTAGTAAGCTAAATAAATTATTATATAACTTTAGCTTTAGCTAGTAAAAAAAAAGGTGCAAAATATATATAAAAACATTAAGCTGCTTTAAAAGCTACTTTTATGTTAATTTTATAATATTATTTCTTTTTTTCTAAAATTGTTGTTTTAATAATTTTTCGTAAGTATTTTTTCTTTCTTTTTTTTTTATATGTTATAATATTAAAGCGCATTAAAAAAACTAACTGTTTATTTAAAACAAAGCAAAAATTCATTTTTGCTTTTTTTATTAATTTTATTAGCTATAAAGTTATGCTTTATTTTTGCTGCTTTAATTAATTATTAACGTATAAAATAACAAATAATATATTTTATTGTTTTAAATGCATATGTATTAATTATTTCTGCAATAAATTAGAAGTTTTAATTAACTTAATTAATAATATAGTTTTTAAATATTATTGTTTTAAGAAAAAAAAAAAGCAAGCAAAGCAATAGCTATTTTTAGTTCAAAAAAAATTAAAATAAGCTTAAAATAGCTTTAACTTTGTTTTAAACAAATTAGCTTAGCTTTATATATAAAAACGTTTTTTAAAAGCAAAAAATATTAAAATAGTTTAGCAAAAGCTTTAGTTCTTAAATAAACTAAACAAAATAAAATATATTAAAAAAGAATAAAAAGCGCTAATAAAAAAGCAAAAACAACAAAAAAAGCAAGCTAAAGCAACATAAGCTATTTTATTTAAGTTTAATTAAAATTTTTTAAGCGTTTTTTTTAAGGTCAACTTTTTTTTTTTAGTTTTAAGCAATTAAAATATTAGCAATAAAACTAATTTATAATTACTTTAGCAGTTTTTAAATGTTTTTTAAATTTCTAAGTATTATTAACATATAAATATTTTTTTCATTTAATAAAATATTTTAGGTTATTATTATTTTAATAAAAATTTAATATACTTTTAACTTTATAAACGTTTTAATTTGTTTTTATTTTTAGTTATATTTTAATAAATGTTTTAATAAATACTAGTTCTAGTAAAAAAATATAAAAAATAAAATAAATTTATATATTCTTTAGTAATAATAGTTTATAGTTAATAAATAAAATAATTTCTTTAATTTTAAAAAAGCTAAGTTTTTTAAATTTTAATTTATTGCTTAGTTGTTTTATTTTAATTTAGAAAATATTAATGTTTGCATTTTATTTTTATTATAGCAAATAAACTTTATTTCTTTTTTTAAAAATTAGTTCTTTAGTTTGTTTTTTATTATAGTATATTAATATCTATTGTTATAAAAATTAAAAGCATAATTATAGTTTAGCTTATAATGTTTTAATTTTTATTGCAATAGTTTTTGCTTAAAGTACTATAATTAAAATAGCAAGTGCTTTTATTAATGTTTTTTTTTGTTTTTTAATAGTTATTTACTATTTATAAATAGCTTTATGCAAAAATATATTTATATTTTTATTTATTAATATATTATATAAAATTTATGCTATTAATAATAGTTTTACTTAATTGTTTTATTAGTAGTTAATATAACTTTATAAATATTATTTTAATATTTAGTTTAGTTTTTTTGTTTGTTTATTTGTTTATAAATAATAAGCAATTAAAAATTTTAGTTTAATACTAATAAGTTTAAAAAAGCTAGTTTTAAACTTAAAAGTAAATAATTTATTTTAGTTTAAAATAATTTTTTTTAATAGCTTATGTTTATTTAAATATTAGCATATAAAAGCGTATATAAGTTATTTAGCTATTATATTTCCTTTAAACAATAAAAAGTAAGCATATTTAGTAAGTTTATTAATAATAATTTATATTTTATTATATTATATTTTTATAACTAAATTAATTAATAAAAGTAATGCTATAATAAAATTTTAAGCAATAATATATTATGCTTGTTTAAATATTTATATAAGTTATAATAATTTATAAAGCTTATATTAAGCTGTTTTAGCTTTATTATAAATATTGCACTTTTTTATAATAAACTTAACTATGTTTTATAGTTTTAAAAAATTATACTTTTTTTATAATCGTTAAACTATTTTTATTGCTTTTTAGTGTTTATATAATAAATATTTATAAAATTTTTTAATAAACTTATTTTATAAAAATTTTAATAAATAAACTTTATGTTTATATATTAGCTTGTTA